GGCAGCCGCTTGTCCTCCCTTGGTCGCTGGAGCGTTTGGTACTCCAGGCTCCACCCTTCCCTTGGTCTCGTTGGGAACGACCTTCTTTTCTCTTCTTCTTTCTATAATTTGGAGGCGTTCTTCCATCAGCCGGATCAGCGAGGGTCCTAGCTCCTCCATCTAACATTCGATTGCGACGAGACGCGCTGTCTCGCTGCTCTCCTCTGCAGTGGAGCGCGAGGCCAGCTCTTTTCGAAGCGCCTCGTTCTCCGCCTCTAATGCCGCTATGAGTCCTTCCATTATCGCGAAGGTGCCAGAGGCGGGGTCCATACTTCTCATCATCTCTGTTACGCCAGCGGCAATAGACCTCGCCGCTTCTTTCAGCGTATTCCCACGTGTGCCCTTGAGGTTGCGGGATGTCTCGGCAACCTTGGTCACCTCAGAAGCTCGACGGATCAGTTCCACTCCTATGTCCGCCGTAGTAGATGTTCTCATCTCTTCGGCCAAGTCCGTGGGGAGCTCGGGAGAATCGCTAGCCTTCCTTTTCGTCGCGCGGGGTGCTTCGACGGCGGGGGTCTCCTCTTCCTCCGTCGTTTCATCCGTCCGTAGGTTCCCCCCGTTCAGTGTGGAGCAGAAGAACCCCTTCTTAAGAGAGACCGCCTTCCTCATACTTCTGGTGCTGACGTGTGTGGGCTCAGTAGCCAACTCTGCTTCACCTCCTCTCATGGTTTCATCCACCTCTTTATCTTTCCCCGCGGTTGTGGTTCAAATGGCCCGCGCGATGCGTTTTCGGCGCGCGTGCCAATATGACTTCCTCACCGGCATAACCTCACACTCGGTTTTATTTCGCCTGTAACGTCTTTCCAGACCGGATTTCGTTAGTTCTTACACCCACTTTTTTTCACAGGCACTAGCCCTTCACTCTGGTTAACTTCCTTGTCCGAATTCTCCAGTTTTCCCGCAGATTTCGATCGGCTCCGTCTTCTCTACGACTGCTCCACGGAAATGCCCCAATGGAACTTCTAATAACTAATACTAGATGAAATTTAAGGAATGCTGTCTTTCTGCTGATTTCAATTCTCAAAGGAAACTACATTCAACTTAATAGTTTGTTTAAAGTTGCAATATAGAAATTGTCCGTCGATTCACCTGGGATATTGACGAATTTGGCATCATCGATTAGTTAGCTTGTCGTCACATCAAACTTTGGAAAAGACGATTGGTTGCTCGTTTTAAAAATATAAAATTCATACAACCCATTTCTCTCTATTTTCACAGCAGTTCGCTTGAGAGTTGTTTATATTCCACCGTCTGACGTGCGTTCCCCGTGGATAGAAATTCAGTATGATTGACGTCCAGTTCTAGATTAGCTTCATTGCCTTTTGTCATGCTCGAAACAAGCTGTTCGATAAACGAGACAAATTTTTTCATACGCAAAAAGCTACATTTGTGTAAAAACAGAAAACGGAGCAAATCTTCATTATTTTTACTCCCTTTTAATGTAACATTCGACTAAAATATTTACTATCATTTTATATAATAAAATAATTACAAACTAATGAAGAACTAAATTTTATTTTCATTTTTTATATTTTCAAAAATAATGAAATAAACTTCTGAAACGGTCTATTTTAAATCACGATGTGTGAGGTTAAAATGATCGATAAAAGGTGTGGCAGGCGAGTAGAACACGCCATTAGAAAGTAATTCAAGACGACGAACCCGATCGAAAGCGTTACGTAGCAGGTAACGAGGTTAGCGCATCGAAGTAACCGGCCAGCGGGCTATGTTCATTACATTAGCATAACTCGGTAATATCGTTTATGCTTCGCTGGCGTGGAACCTTGGTTTTGTCGAAAAACTTCCGCCAGAAAAACGAGTGATACGATACATTTCACATATACACGACCAAGAATTTTAAGTAAATTGACTTTCGAATCATCATAACAATTTCATCTATCATTTACGCTGTATGTCACATTTTCTCTTTTTATGCTTTTATTCGCTAGAATGGTCTTTTCAGGAAACAACTTTTTTAAATGGCTAGTTGGCTTTCGACTATATTAACGGAAGTTCCGATCGTAAAATAGCGTGAGAGTTGCGTTAAAACGCTCTCTTTCTGTATCTCGGAGCCTTTCGCCGATGTAATCGGATTTTTCTCATTTAATTTGGTTAAAGCAATGTTCATTGAGCTAGTTCTAGTCGGATTAATTAAAAACGTGGCTCGCCTTTGAAGAGCTATCGATTTTTCCTGACCGGGAAGCACAAAAATTCTGAGAAATAATATTTTCGAATGTTCATCCATAAATCATTGTACATTACATACAGGATATCAAATCGATTGGTCGAACAATAAGCGCCAAGTGGTGCTGATGCGAAATCGACTTTGAAGTTGACAAGGGAAGAAATAAAATTCTAGAAGCCGAGCCACTGATAATAGCGATCTTCGCGGGCAATCACGATGGCGCCAGTTTAGGGCTTTTGTCGTCTGCAGTTTAATCATTTCCGGTTTATCTATGGAACGACGGATAAGACAGGAGCGGAATCGTGTTGTGTTCGGCATGAGAGATAAAGTAATTATTATCTCATAATTGGCACGAGCGAAATAATCAATGCAAAGAGGTAGAAAAGAAGAATGTGACGTTGAAGAAACATTTGGCGAGAGAATCGAGAGTATCATTTTCAATAAGAAACATCGATTCTCGGCGATCAAGATAATGGAAAATTGTTGTTCATGGTAAAATCTATTCTGCTTATCACTTAACAGTTTCCACTTAATCCATGAAACTCATTCTTCTGCACGATTCCGCAGGACGCGTAATTTTAAAGTTATTCAGATCAATTTATTCCGCGTTGCATCTCCTTCAGGAGTGGAACAGCATGCAACCTGTCACAGAAAGTCATTTGCCTGTTTGGAACGTTATACCTCTCTTTTTTTATTTTTTTATTTTTTTTTTTTTAATTTTTCCATTGAGACAACGATCTACAGTGGGATCCGTTATAACGTACCGCACGCGTACCGAGCGAAAATTCAAAGTCGATTTTCTCGAAAACAATATCTCAAACGAAAAATTTTTATTCTATATTTTCGACTTTTTTTTTCGCGTAGAATCACCCCCTTTCCGCTTGTACTACCAGTTACCAACCACCCTGTATATTATACATGGATGATCGTGCGGGAAACTAATATTGACGTGAAAAATTGGGAATCGTTTGACGATGCTTGCGCATCCTTACCTTACCTTATGCGCTTTTTACGTTCTAAGGAATATAGAACGTGTTTCAGTAACTCAATTTTACGTAAATTTAAGTTATCGCTGATTTAAAGCGCCGTTCGTGAATTGTTTCACGATATCTACTCGATCTTATGAAATTTATCGTGCATAGAAGATTTAGGTATATTGTAAATAATATATGTACGCATGTTCTTCGTAATGCTAAATAAAAGTGACTATAGAAATATCTAATTGTAAAGCTCCACTGGATGGAATTGTTAATAATTTTTCAACTGCATATAAAATTCTTATCTGCACAATTTTTACTGCAAGTAATTTGTGATATGATGTGAGTTACAGGAGCGTGTGAGCTGGTCGTAAAACGTGTCCGGCTATATACGATCTTATTTCCCTTGCTTGCTTATTCCGCAGGGTTTAAATCTATCATCAGTTTCTTGTCGAATATGATTAAAATTTTTCTGCTGTATGGAATATGAAGATCTTTTTGGATGAAAAATAACGAAATAAATTTATCTCAAGAAAATTAAAAAACAAAAATTTTATAAAAATTTACATAAAACATACAACGGCTTTTTTATGTTTTATTAAATTTTGTGAAAGATATAGAATCAACCTTTTCCATTTTTTATATAACGAAAGTGGGAAAACAATTATAGATATTTATTACGTCAACCAGTGATATAAAATACAGTGATCCATTAAGAGCTAACGCTATGCTAACCTGACATTTCTTTCTTTTTAGTCCATTTATATTATTAAATTCTACTTTATCACATTGTAGTTATAAAGAAGAATGTCAAGAACTTTTTTTTTAATAAGAATATCTTTTTCGTTATTACTTTTTTCTTATCCAGGTTTTACAATTTTATAGCGTTGAGACTCTGATCGTAACATTTTTCTTTAAAACACAAATAAAAATATTCTCTGTGTCTCTAATTTGAATAAAATTTGTATAGAATTTCTATAGAATGTCTATTAGGGTAATACATTTTTATACTTTAACAAAACAATATATAAGTTGCTTTATTCGTGTCTTTTAGTACGTAAGTACGTGAATACGTAATTTTCAGATATTGTTTCAATGCTTCGCCTTTAATGGATTAAATTTGGATTCATCGAATATTAAAATATAAGTAACGAACCTGTGGACAGGATATGCTGCTGAAATTAGTGCAGTTTTCAAAAACGATGTCGGTTCCGTTTCTTCTTACTGTTGCGTGGATTTGAGGACAAAATCCTGTGGTTCTCGTCAAGCACCACTCCCCGCAGCTTGCCCAGCCGCAATTATTGGCTAAGGTGGTATTAATGGTTTGGCACATGACTGGATCCGGATCAATCCCAGCGTTGAAGACTCTGGAAATTAATTGCGTCGCGTTCGTTAATATTTTGCTGTGAGTGGTTTGGTTTTTGCATGATGTGATACGATATACCAAGTACAAAAGCCGATGAATTTGTTGATATAGCATTATTATCGATCGCTCTCGTTTATAAAATTACAAGTGATTGAAAGATATTTTTAAAATGCGAATAGACGTCAAAATCAGATACAAGTAACTATAGATCAAAAAAAAAGAAGAGAAAGAAAAATAAGACGTCTACATGACTTATAGTTCACAACAACCGAAAAGATTCTAAGAAACCTTACGCGATTTAAGATTTGACCTTTAACCTATAGAGTTCCAAAGATCATACACTTATCGATGTTCTTCGAATTGAATCTACACCAGTGTCTACGCTATTGTGTAGATGGAATCATTATATTCGCTACCGTATTATTGCATAATAGATTATTCTTCCAAATTACACTGATCTTCGCTACATACACTCTATAACTCATAAATATCCAGACATTCTGATGGTTATTGATTGAATGGTTAGTGATTCCTGAGGTAATTTTCCGTGTAGGATAAATGTAAAATTATTAACGCTCTATAATGCCATGTAATTTACGATTGTATTGTACATTTACGCTCTTTAACTCCTCATTTTCTACTTATCTCTGTTCCTTTTGCAAAATTAAAGCAATAGTATAAGTAAAATTTTTAAATCCGCAATTTGTTGCTCGACAATTTACCAATATTAGTAAAATTAATGGATAAATTATTTTGTAAAGAGATGCAAGCAATCTATTTATGACAATTACTAATTCATTATTTCTAATTTGAAATAAAAAGGCTGTAATGAATAGTAATTTCTTTTCTCATAAACAACACTCCTGGTATAGAGGGTTAAAGTTGGGGTCATAGAGTGCAAGTTATAGATCTCCTCTAGGAAATTAAGGCCGGCGGAGTCGTAACTTAATTACTACCGACCTTGGTCAATTAATCGATGCAGCCTTGTCGTTTACCTGTGGGCCGGCATATAGATTGCCACGCTCAGATAAACCAATGCCACGCAGCTGGTGACATTGGTGAACTGACAGAAACAGATAATTCCGCATATCCTGCGATCCTGTTCCGGTATCAGGCGACGTTTGTGCTTCCGACCCATCGCGAGCAGCCAA